GGAGTATTACTCAGCCATCAAAAAGAATGAAATCCTGGGGTGCCTGGGTGGCTCAGTCATTAGGCGTCTGCCTTCGGCTCAGGTCATGATCCCAGGGTCCTGGGATCGAGCCCTGCATCAGGCTCCCTGCTCAGCAGGGAGCCTGCTTCTCCCTCTCCCACTCCCCTTGCTTGTGTTCCTGCTTTTGCTATCTCTGTCTCTGTCAAATAAATAAATAAAATCTTAAAAAAAAAAAAAAGAATGAGATCTTGCCATTTGCAGCAACGTGGATGGAACTAGAGGTTATTATGCTAAGCAAAATAAGTCAGAGAAAAATATATTATTTCAATCATATGTGGAACTTAAGAAACACAACAGATGAACATAGGGGAAGGGAAGGGAAAATAAAATTAGACAAAAACAGAGGAAAATAAAATTAGACGAAAACCGAGAGGAAGGCAAACCATAAGAGACTCTTTACTCCAGGAAACAAACTGAGGTTGCTGCAGGGGAGGAGGGTGGGGGGATGGGGTAACTGGGTGATAGGCATTAAGGAAGGCACCTGAAATAACAAGCACTGGGTGTTGTTGTATGCAACTGATGAATCACTAAATTCTACCCCTGAAACTAATAATATAGTATGTGTTAATTAAATTGAATTTAAATAAAAATTTTTTTAAATTAAAAAAAAAAAGAGAAGAAAAAAGAAGCTACTTTCCCAGAAAGTGCCAGGATTAATGGTTTCACAAGTGAATTCCAAGAGGTCATTCCAGGAATGTAAGCATGATAGTGCTACATGATTCCTTTAAACTTGATTTCACCCAGTAATGTTTTATTTAGTATTTCAGCATAACAATTATTAATAAAACTGATCTGTAAATTCTCTATTTTGTCAGATATGAGGTCAATATAATGTTGGCTTTATGTAACAAATTTGGAAACTTTCTCTTTCCCCCCTTCTATGCTTAAGGACAGTTTCTATGTTTTTGTTATTTACTTGGTGTTTAATTGAGTGATTTTTCTTTTTATTTTTTTTTTCAAGATTTTTATTTATTTGTCAGAGAGAGGGAGAGAGAGCAAGCACAAGCAGGGGGAGTGACAGGCAGAGGGAGAAGCAGGCTCCCAGCCAAGCAAGGAGCCCGATGTGGGACTTGATTCCAGGACCCTGGGATCATGACCTGAGCTGAAGCCAGACACTTAACCAACTGAGCCACCCAGGTATCCCTGATTTTTATTTTTAATCAGTAAAATTTTTTAAATACAGAAAAACAGGACACTTTTACCTAAATTCAATAAGTTATTTTTCCATATATGTATTTTTTGTTCAAGGATTTTAAGGTAAAAATTAATTATATTTTACCCCTAAATACTTAATTATGTATCTCTAAAAAATTTTTTCTTACATACTTATAATACCATTATTATATCTAGTAACATTAATAATTTTTAAATATCTAATGTCTTGATCATATTCAATTTCCTTAATTCTTCCCAAAATATCTACTGCATTTGGTTATTATGTCAACATCACTTACATTTAAATGAATCTCCCATCCCCACTTCCAGCTTTTGTTCTTCATGACAGAAACCAGGCCATACTTCCTATAAAAACTCCTATCTTCTAGATTTGCCTTGAAATGTCCTACATTAATTTATATTTATCTTCCCTGTGGTCTTCTTTATCATGTTCATGTCTCCCCTGTATTTCCTAGAAGTTAAACCTCAAGGTTTTATTAAGTTCAGGCTAAACACAATTTTTATTTTTTTAAGATTTTATTTATTTATTCACGAGAGACAGAGAGAGAGAGAGGCAGAGGCAGAGGGATAAGGAGGCTTATGGACAGCTGGATGGACATTGAGTTGATGGACATTGAGTTGCTTCTACTTTTTATTACGAGTAATATATTATTCTATAATAATACTGTTATAACAATATTATGAATAACGCTACCATGAACATTCATGTCTAAATATTTGCTTGAACAACTGTTTTTAATTATTTTGAGTATATACCTAGAAGTGGAGTTGCTGGGGTGTATGATAACTCTACATTTAATCATTTGAAGAACTGCTAGACTATTTTCCAAAGTGGCTGCACTATTCTACATTTCTACCAACAGCATATGAGGGCTCCAACTTTGTCACATTCTCACTAACACTTGTTATGATTTGCGTTGTTGATTATAGCCATTAGTGGGTAGGAAAAAGAATGTCATGATTTTGGTTTGCATTTCCCTAATGAGTAATGATGCTAAGCATCTTCTCATGTGCTTATTGGCTGTGTGTGTGTGTGTGTGTGTACACACTCTTTGAAGAAATGACTTCATTTTTTTTCCTTTTTTAAATTTTATTTATTTATTTATTAAAGATTTTATTTATTTATTTGACAGAGAGAGAGAGAGGGAGTGGGAGCATAAGCAGGGGGAGTGTCAGGCAGGGGGAGAGGGAGAAACAGGCTCCCCGCCAAGCAGAGAGCCCAACGTGGGGTCGATCCCAGGACCCTGGGGTCATGACCCGAGCTGAAGGCAGATGCCTAACCAACTGAGCCACCCAGGTGCCCTCATTATGGTTTTGATGTGTATTTCCTTAAGGATTCCCTAAGTGATGTTGAGCATCTTCTTATGTGCCTATTGCCTATTTGTATGTCTTCTTTGTGGAGAAACGTCTATTAAAGTCTTTTGCCCATTTTGTATTCTGCTTGTTTCACTGTTTCTATTCCTAATTTGATGAAAGCTTTTACTTACTTTTAAAGATTTTATTTATTTATTTGACAAAGACAGAAAGAGCACAAGTAGGCAGAGCAGCAGGCAGGGGGAGAGGGAGAAGCAGGCTCCCCACTGAGCAGGGAGCCCGACACGGGGCTCCATCCCAGGACCCCAAGATCATGACCCTAGCCAAAGGCAGATGCTTAACCGACTGAGCCACCCAGGTGCCCCAGAAATGACTATTTATGAAGAAATGACTATTTGCTTGTTTTAAAAATTGGGTTGTCTTTTTTTTTTTTTTTAAAGATTTTATTTATTTATTTGACAGAGAGAGAGACAGCGAGAGCAGGAACACAAGCAGGGGGAGTGGGAGGGGGAGAAGCAGGCTTCCTGCCGAGCAGGGAGCCCGATGTGGGACTCGATCCCAGAACCCTGGGATCATGACCTGAGCCGAAGGCAGACGCTTAACGACTGAGCCACCCAGGCGCCCTGGGTTGTCTTTTTATTATGGAGTTTTAAGAGCTCTTTTTTTTCAAGATTTTATTTATTTATTTTACAGAGAGACACAGTGAGAGAGGGAACATAAGCAGGCGGAGTGGGAGAGGGAGAAGCAGGCTTCCCTTGGAGCGGGGAGCCCGATGCGGGGCTCGATCCCAGGACCCTGGGATCATGACCTGAGCCGAAGGCAGACGCTTAATGACTGAGCCACCCAGGTGCCCCTTAAGAGCTCTTTATAAGCTCTAGATACAAGTCCCTTGTCAGAAAATATGATTTGCAAACATATTTCTCCCATTCTGTATACTTTTCATTTTCTTGACAGTGTCCTTTGATGAAGTCCAATTATCTATTTTTTCTTGTATTATTCAGGCTTTTGCTGTCATATCTATCAATCCACTGCCAAATATGAGGTAATGAAGATTTACCTCTATGTTTTCTTTTAAGAGTTTTATAGTTTTAGCTCTCACATTTAGGTTTTTGATCCATTTTGAGCTAATTTTCATGTATGCTGTGAGCTAGGGATCCAGACTCATTCTTTTGCATGTGGATATCTAGTTGTTCTGGTACCACTTGATAAAAAGACTATTCTTTTCCTAGGGAATGCCCTTCCTATTCTGGTTGAAAAACAGTTGACCACAGACATGTGGGTTTATTTCTGGGCTCTCAAACCTATTCTCATAATCTCTCTGTTTATCATTGTCATATCACACTGTCTTGATTACTGTTGCTTTGCAGTAGGTTTTGAAATAGAGAAGTATGAATTCTCCAAATTTGTTCTTTTTCAAGGTTGTTTTGGCTATTCTGTGTCCCTTATAATTCCACATAAACTTTTTTTAAAATTTTATTTTATTATGTTATGTTAATCACCATACATCATTAGTTTTTTTGTTTTTTTTTTAATTTTTTTTATTCTTATGTTAATCCCCATACATTACATCATTAGTTTTAGATGAAGTGTTCATACATCATTAGTTTTTGATGTAGTGTTCCATGATTCATTGTTTGCATATAACACCCAGTGCTCCATTCAGTACATGCCCTCTTTAATACCCATCACCAGGCTAACCCATCCTCCTACCCCCCTCCCCTCTACAACCCTCAGTTTGTTTCTCAGAGTCCATAGTCTCTCATGGTTTGTCTCCCCCTCTGATTCCCCCTGCCTTCATTTTTCCCTTCCTGCTATCTTTTTCTTCTTCTTCTTCTTCTTTTTTAACATATAATGTATTATTTGTTTCAGAGGTACAGGTCTGTGATTCAACAGTCTTACACAATTCACAGTGCTCACCCTAGCACATACCCTCTCCGATGTCTATCACCCAGCCACCCCATCCCTCCCACCCCCCACCATTCCAGCAACCCTCAGTTTGTTTCCTGAGATTAAGAATTCCTTATATCAGTGAGATCATATGATACATGTCTTTCTCTGATTGACTTATTTCGCTTAGCATAATACCCTCTAGTTCATCCACGTTGTTGCAACATCCATTAAGATGATCATGCGGTTTTGTTTTTTTCAGTTTTTAGAAAATTTTATTTTTTCCCAGTATTTCAAATTTCTTGTAGTTAACATATATAGTGTAATACTAGTTTCAGGAGTAGAATTTAGTGATTCATCACTTACATATAACACCCAGTGCTTATCACAGTGCCCTCTTTAATATCCATCACCCATTTAGCCCATCCCCCTGCCCCCAGCAACCCTCAGTTTATTCTCTATAGTTAAGAGTCTCTTATGGTTTGTCTCCCTCTCTCTTTTTTTTTTCTTTCCCTTATGTTCATCTGTTTTGTTTCTTAAATTCCACATATGAGTGAAATCATAAACATATGGAACACTTCACCAGTTTGTGTGTCATCCTTACACAGGGGCCATGCTAATCTTCTCTTTATCATTTCAATTTTAGCATATGTGCTGCCAAGTGAGCTGATTTTTAGATGTTAACCTATGTACTTTATTTTACATCCTGTGAGGAGGCTCATTATGCCATATCACCCCACTATTAGTAATGATGCTAATACTGATGACCAGTTTCAGGAGATGACAATATGGTATCTCCATTATAAAGTTTCACTTTTTTTCTGTATGCCTAGCAAGTAATCTATGACATGACAATTTAGAACTATGTGAATATTGTTCTTTATCAACTCATGTCTTAATGGATTTAGCATCCATTAATGAGCCTTGCCTGAATCAAATATTTCCTCAAGGTTTGCAAAATGTTGATTATTCTAATTCTATTATCCCGTCTCTATTAGCTAGCTAGCAATCACCTAGAAAGAAGAGCTTTACCTCATAAACTGGAAAGACTTGTTTACCATGAAATACAACTCCTATTGAAAAGGTAGAATAGGGCCTCCTGAGTGACTCAGTTGGTTAAGCGTCCAACTCTCAATTTCGGCTCAGGTCATGATCTCAGGGTCGTGGGATAGAGCCCCAAGTAGGGCTCCCAGTTCAGAGCGAGTTCAGGACGTGGTCTGCTTCAAATTCTCTCTCTCCCTCTGCCCCTCCCCCCACTCCTGCTCTCACACACGCTCTCTCCCTCTCTAAAATAAATAAAATCTTTAAAAAAAATGGTAGAGGGCGCCTGGGTGGCTCAGTTGGTTAAGCGACTGCCTTCGGCTCAGGTCATGATCCTGGAGTCCCAGTATCGAGTCCCGCATCAGGCTCCCTGCTCGGCAGGGAGTCTGCTTCTCCCTCTGACCCTCCCCCCTCTCATGTACTCGCTCTCTCTCATTCTCTCTCTCTCAAATAAATAAATAAAATCTTTAAAAAAAATAAAAAAATAAAAAAAAATGGTAGAATAAATGCTTAGTTCATTCTCTTTAATTACCAGTTTTTAAAGTGAGAAATTAATATAATAACCATTGCCATAGCAACGAACCACTGCCATGGCAAAATTATTTGTTTGTTTAAGTTCTCTGCAAGTTTTATTAGGCACTCATGAATTTTCATATATTATGATTCAATCAGTTATAGTAGTTATTATTATTATTTTGATGTTCCAATTGTCCAACTCCGATCAATGACAGCTCTTTCAAGCTGGGTCCTAGATTCTTTAGACACAAACCCATCCTCATAAGCTTACCTATTCCTTGACTCAGACCTGGTCAGGTATTTTTACAAGCCCTGAGTTCTTTTAGTGGGTAATAGTACTTAAAGAGATCAAAATCTGGGCCCTAGGGGTATTCAATGCTAGAGGATTATCTGGAACAGTTTAAAGAGTACAAAAACTATTTCTTACAGTTCTGAAAAGGGTTACTCTGTGAAACCATTTGAACATAGGAAGTACTTATTAGGAAGTACTTTCTTATAACAACATTCCAAATTTCTTCATTGGTTATTAACTGTTCAAATTTTCTCCATGTTTGAAAAAAATCATGAAATTTTATACAGTCTGATAAAATAATTCATTTTTCAAATGTACTTGCACAGTCTTATCAAGAGTCTTTTATACCCTTTTAATTTCTTCTGTATCTGTGGGTTTTTGTTTTTTCCTCATTCTCCTTCCTAATAGCCTTTATCTGGGCTTACTCACTTTTCTTGATTAGGATATATAGCAGATAATCAATTTATTGACTGTTTTTTCTTTAAGAAAAGGAATTACTGAAGTTACATGTCAGTTCTACTGTTCCATTTGCTCTTTTAGCCTTATATGTCGTTTACTCTTACTTATCAAATTGACTGCTTAACAAGCAGAAGAAATTCACTCTTTAGACAAAGAATACAGAGTGGAATAAAACTCCTTACATTTAAATACTGGAACATAAAAAGCAGGCTTTTTAATGGAATTGAGTTTAACCCATACACATAACATTTCTTTCTATCTAAGTGCATCAAGCTTAAAATAATTAGCAATTTTTAAAAATACTATTCTTACCTCTTTTGTAGTACCTGCTCTTCCAGGTTCATGACTTACACAAAAAGGGCCAGTTTTCCATGCCTCTGTGTCTCCACAGTCACAAAATCCCCCTCCAGTAGAAGTATGCATCTGATAAATGAAAAATGAGTTTGTCTTGATTTCAAACATATTACAAAGCAAGAAGGATGAAGATGACTCAAATAATAAATGCTCCCCAATACTTAAACCTTAATTGCCATTAATATAATAGAAACCAAATAAACCAAAAACCATTTTAGTTAACCAAAATAAATAAAAATCTGAATACTTAATCACAACAAAAATGAGCCTTCAAAACTGACAAAATTTTGAAACAAATATGCTTTGAAACATCTAACTTTTAAATAATAGTTTTTAAAATTGTGTACTAATGGAGAACAGACTGTGAAGTATGCAAAAACAAAACAAAACAAAACAAAACAGCCCACTATGCAACACCTAGAATGCTTGAGTAATGACATTTTTCTGCTTAAACACACTTCTAAAAATCATTATAATACTTATATAGTTAAAAAATGTTTACAGTATTTACATCTATTTGATGTTCCACTGCAATTAAAATTATTTACTTTTACTTTTATTATTATCATTTACTATGTATTTTTCCTTTCAGGGTTCCTGCAAACAAAAAAATAAATGATGCGACATATATGAATCCTGATATAGGATGATGACAGTGGCCTGATTTTGAATCTTTCCCAAAACCTCCCTCTCCAAAACATAAAATAAACAAGGAGAGCAATAAAACCACACGATTTATGTCTGCAGCATTACTGAGAGATGAAAAATAAATGCCACGGCCTTCAAATGACTTGTTCCATTAGAGTTCCTATTGCCTATCGCTTCAAGCCTACAAATGCAGACGAGAGAGGAGCTTAAGAGATTCCATGAAAGAAAACAGAGAGGTACAGAGGACTTAAGTGAAGCATACACAAAGTCACACCCAATGTTGAGGAACATAGATTGAGACTTGGCAGTTCCCAGGGAAAGATCAAAAGTGAGCATGACCAGAAGTGGCAACCTGAGAGAAGCACTGCTTTTGGAGGAAAATGAAATACATTTAAAAAAAGTGATAAACCTTAACAGTGTGGCAGTAAATGAAAAAAGGAAATAAAAAGGGAAAATTAAGGATCCTACAGAAATGAGAGAAACAACACAGGGCCACTCTCCTCACCTCACCTCTACCACCACCATCATCTATAAAAGAAATTACACAGAAGAGGACCAAACTTATAGAAGAGAGCACTTGTGGACACTGTCCATGAAATAAAAAAGAAGTAGACCATATTCATACAGAACTATTACCAAAAAAGAAAGGCAAAAAATGCAGTAAGAGCCAAAACCCAATCACAAAGCTGAAGAAAACTGTAATCTAATGTTTCAAACTTAATTACATAGCCTCAAACGAGCATTTGGGGGATATGAAAACCCTTAATCAGATTAAAGCACCTTTAATTAGAAATAAACTAAGAACAGAAGTGGACAAAAAAGGAATAAATGAGACCTGACTGAACTCAGGAAAAAAAAATAAAAACAGAAGAGAACTAGAAAATCCTATCAGAAATGAATTCTAAATTATAAGGTGTCCAAGACAATACATTCAAATGAAAAATTAATAAATAACATTAAACAAAGCAGGAGAAACAATCAAGAGATGAAAATGCGATAATTAAAGAAATACAAGGTCAGAGAGAAAGGGGTTGCAACAGAAAACAGGCATTAACTGGAGTCACCAAAGAAGAAAATCTGAAAAATGGAACAGAGCTGATACTTAAAACTGTAATCTAAGGAAATTTCCTAAAATAAAAGAAGACCTGAATCTACACACTGAAAGCACCCATGAGTAACTAAAACTCACCTAATATGATCAACTCTGAAGTATATCCTACTAAAATTCTAAGACTTTAAAGATGAATGTCCTGAGGCTTTCTGGCAAAAAGATGAAATAACACAGTATAAGAATATTAGACTGGTGGGACGCCTGGGTGGCTCAGTTGTTAAGCTATAAAAATACAATTCTGAACATGTCGGAACATCGGGAATACTGTATATGTGAGCCCTTCCTGAGAAATCTACTTGAACAGAGATCAGCAAACTTTATGTATAAAGGAACAGATAGTGGGGTGCCTGGATGCTCAGTCAGTAAAGCATCTGACTCTGGATCTCAGCTCAGGTCTTGATCTCAGGGTCATGAGTTCAAGCCCTACTTAAAAAAAAAAAAGGAACAGATAGTAAATATGTTAGGCTTTTCGGGTCATATAATCTCTGTTGAATTACCCAAATCTACTGTTGTAGTGCAGAAACAGCCACAGATAATAAATACATACACGAGCAAGGTTATGTTCCAATAAAACTTGATTTATGGGCACTAGAATTTTAATTTTATATAATTTTCATGAAATAGGAATTTTAATTTCACATAATTTTCATGTATCATAAATTACTACTTTATCTTTTCCCCAACCACCTAGAAATATAAAAACAAACTTAGCTTGCAGGCCATACAGAAACAGGCAGTGAATCAGATCTGACCCACAAACTAGTTCACCAACCCTTAGAGGATGAGCTTCATCTGATCAAGAGGTGACTAGGAAGACCTCAGAAAAAGGACAGATGGTGAACATTTTATAAATTTAATTGCAGAGTTAAGATACAAATCAAAAGTAAGGACATGGATGAAGAACGTAAACATTATATGATCTAACAATCAGAAGGGCTACAACTAAAAATTGGGACAAGGGAAAGAGAAAATAAGATTATCAACTATTACACAGGTATTAAGAGGAAATCAAAGATACCATTAAAACTGACAGACTAGGGGCGCCTAGGTGGCTCAGATGGTTAAGCAACTACCTTCGGCTCAGGTCATGATCCCAGGGGCCTGGGATTGAGCCCCGTTTGGGCGCCCTGCTCAGCGGGGAGCCTGCTTCTCCCTCTCCCTCTGCCATTCTCCCCACTTGTGCCCTCTGGCTCTATCTCTCTGTCAAATAAATAAATAAAATCTTAAAAAAAAAAGTAAAAGCATA